CACTTCTTCCTGTCAAAATCACATAGAGGAGACACAGATAGGGTCTAGTGGTAGAAGTTGCACATGAAGAGTTGGTTGAGGGAAAACAATGGTTTACCATTTTTAAGAAACAGCAGGTAGGCATTTGTGAATGGCAGGTCTACAGTGGATCCAAAATCCAGAGGGTCTGTACAGAACTTGTCAATACGGATTTAGCTTTGCTGGCTGATTTAACTTTATCTTCTACAGCCAACAATAATAATACCTGTTATTTGATTTTCTTCCTATGCGGTTCTCAATATTCAAGGTTGTCTTCAAGCTGGCTTGGATTCTTAAATTAACGTTTTAATGAATTCCAAACTTGCATAAATCGACAATACCTAATGCTTACAGTAAATGTGCTGCAGAAGACCTAATGCTGACCATGTGTTTGAATCAATGGAAATATTTGGAAATGTTTACTAAACTGTTTGGAGTTTGCTTAATAAATTGGCAGGTTTTTCACCTTTGGTCTCTTCTGGGACAATGTCGTAGTTATGCCAAAATAACAACCACAACCCAATGTCAAGCACACACTGCAGGAACATAATTTGCTATATATAAAAGTGCCCACAGAATACATGCTATAGTGTATAATGGATGCCCAGCTAAATAAGTATGGATGTAGATTTATGTTCAGGCATGGGGCAAGGTCTAGTTTAAAACATCTAACTGGAAATGTGTATCAACATCTGACTGGAAATTTCAGATGTTAAAACTTTTAAAAAACCTGAAAAATCTAGGCCATTCTTACTGTTCCCATGGTTAATGCTTTTCCCCCAAATGCAGCATGACCAGATATGACATAAGTGAACTATTCAGGCATTAAACCGTTTGTTGCTTGGTCAGACCCGCCTTTGCAACTCCAGACTCACCAAAAAAGTAAAAGCAATGCCAGATTTAGCACTCAACGATCTAGGTTCAAGGTTTGGATTATCTGTCCAGACCACCAGTCATGCCAAATTCTGTTCTCAGTTCTGCAGACAATCAGTCTTCAGAACCTTAGAGAAAACAAGGTACACCAGATTCATATAATGATTGCTAAGGAAATGTGAACTTATCAGTATATGTGGATGTTTTTTTAACATTTAGGATCATTCCAAAAAACGCTGAGTTTCATTTTTAGTTTAGATGTTGGATTGTTACATTGACTTGTTATGCCTCCCAGAGACTGAGACTGTAAGATATCATTTTTTGAGTTGTGCTCTCTCTGCAGTGCATTATTTTTTATTATATTTTAATAACACTGAAGCATCCATTCTATAGAGTATATCTCCAAGGTGGGCAGGAACAGAGCTATGACTATGAACATTGTCTACAAAAGAAACTTAAGCTATACTAGAAAGCCTGCAGGTGATCCAGTCCCCCAAGACTCCACCTATAACCATGGGTGCACAAAATCTTAATGCTTCTTACCACCTCTTATGGAAAAAGATGACCATAGCGAGACATTTGATTTGTTAAAGTGTAACTAAAACTTGCCAGTGGACTTCACTGGCAGGCTCAACAGACATTTGTGAAACTTTGCAGGGGGACTAAGAGAAAACTGTAAGTGAAGGCACACTCAAAATTAAGTGCCACAGCCCATATTTTTCTACTTTCTACTGTCATAACTAATCCAACTACTGAACGACTGCTCCTATTTTCAGGAAAGCACATCTTCAAAATGAATGATGTGCAAGGTAAGACCACAGCACAACACATATTTCTTAAAGGTAGGATAGCCTTTACCTTGTGCAGGTAAACCAATGATCAAAAATCATCATTAACCAACCATAACAGGTTCCAACCCAGGAAATCACCACAAATTGCATGAAAATAATGTACTTTACGTGAATTCATGTTTCACTTGAAGCTTCAAATTTTTATCATCCTAAAAACCCAGATTTAAAAATAACTTAATAATTTAATACAAAAATACTGCAAGGATAAAGGGGTCATTTTCACTAGATATCAGATATAAATAATACTTCTCTACCATTACAAAGACACTACAATGCACTGCATTTTATTGCTTAAATAGATGAAGACTTCCTAATATGCTACACACAGGCTTATTTTAATTGGGTTTTAGTTTTAATATTGCTGTGAGCTAAAGAAAATCGCCCATAAATGACACTGATGAAAGCATCCGCTTGCACCTTGTGATCATAAGTTTATAGACACATGAACTTCACACCTCCATATAGCAAAAGGTATGTGGACAGCTCTCCAATATTTGAATCCAGCTGTTTCCAGTAAAGCTTACAGTTTATCCTGCACCATACAAAATGCATTTTGGACAACTGTGTAGTTCAAGCCTTGTGGCAACAGTTTGGAGAAGGTCTTTTTCTGTTCCAGAGGGACTGTGCCCAATGCACAAAGCCAGCTCCACAAAAACATGGCTTGATGAGTTTGGTGTTGGGAAACTTGGGGGGCCTGCACATATCTCTGATCTTAGCTATAATAAACACCTTTGGAATTACATCGGAATGCAAAATGTAAGCCAAATCTTCTCACCCAGTCTTGTAAAAAAGCCTTGCCACAGATGTAGAGGGTGTAAAGCTGCAAAGGAGGAAACCAACTCCATATTAACGTGTATGGTTTTGGAATGGGATGCCCAACAGGTTCATATAGGTGTGATGGTCAAGTGTTCACATACCTTTGGCTAGGGATGCACCGATACTGATACTGGTATCAGTATCGGTGCCGATACCGAGTATTTGGGTGAGTACTAATACTCACCCAAATGCTCAGATACTTATCTCTGATACCGGAACTTCCGGTCAGAGGGATATATATATGCACCGGTACCCTCTATTGGTGAGTACCGCAATAAAATATCGGAATTCTTACTAGATACCGAAAAACCGGTATCGGTGCATCACTACTTTTGGCCATATAACCATGGGACTGCTCCTATGATTGGTGGGAATGGTCTGTTCTAAGATCACACATTGGTTGGAAAGAATGGTCTGTTCTGAGGTCACAGTAATTCCACACCTTGCAGCTCGCCAGGGAAACTACCAGCCCCCAACAGCAATAGTAAGCATGGCTGTACGTCAAAGTTCAGCTAAGAAATTCCGCAGCAGCTTTAGGGGAGTTCACTCATCTTAAGTAGCTGGATATAACATTCAGTGGCCAGGTTAACCAGCCTCAAAACATGCCATTCTCTTCAAACAGCAAAGCAAAGGTATAGTACTCCTTTGGTGGACACATCAACATTTATGGGGAGGCTTTCCCTGCTTCAAAGCCATACTAAAAATAAAATGATGGATGGAGAACTCTTTAATTACACAGAGCATAGCTTCATGGTGTGCATACCAACTAATCAACATGTCCTGCTTAGTGTGGGCAAGCTCTTAACAGATTATTCCTGAATAGTTATCATAGGTTACTGCACACCACTGCTCCTTGCACAATGCCATGTAACATGTTTCATGAAGGTAAAATAGGGATTTCAGATGGATTAGAGTTTATATTGTGTGTGTGTGTGTGTGTGTGTGTGTGTGTGTGTGTGTGTGTGGGTGTGTGTATGTGGCTTCAAGATACATTTTTAGTGCAAAGTAGGCAGGTGATTTTTGTGTGAACTGAAATTCGCCAGTATGGACAAGGCACACACATTTGTAAAAAAAATGGTTATATTGAGAAGTATGGCTAATTGACTCAGAATATATACATACATACTGTCTTCAGTAATGTAGGAGCATAGATATTTAAAGCATTTTTGTTATTTTCATATTTGTGCTCTTCCAGTAAAACTTCATTCAGATTTGTAAACAGCCCTGGTGCTTCTTTTTCAAAAAATCTTTGAAGTCAAAATGTACTTATCACATATATTCACATGCATCTTAACTGTCTTAACCTCAGCAGGCCAAGCCAGGGGTGGGGGGTTTAGAGGAAAATGTACATGGTTCTGCCTTAAAGCTGAACTCCAAGCAGATATGAAATACACAAATAGAGCTACACAATGCAGCTTTGTATTTGTTAATGCAACTTGTATATGCGCCTGAATCTTGTATATGCGCCTGAATCTGACTTGGTATCAGTTTCAATCCCCAATATAGCAGCACTGGGAAAGGGAGGGGCAGGGCTGGAAGCCAATTGGGTGTGCTGCATGCAAATGTTTTAACAATGAACATGCTGATGGGGGAAAGAGTAGCAGCAGAGTGAGTAGCAGGATGACCTCATCAGTCTGCTGCTTTGTTACTCTCCAGTCAGAAGGTTGGAGGTGAAGAAAGGACAGTGATGTATTCCTTATCTGCAAGTGGGGTCTACCTGTCTGTGCTGTGACGTGGGGCTGTGCAAATTTCAAGGCTGGATGGAGAAAAATACAGCACCCATATATGTACTTCATCTGTGTATTTAGCTGTATGCCTGGAGTCCAGCTTTAATGTGGGTGGATATGCTAGGGCTTAAAAGGTCCCAATATTAGGAGATATTCATATTCGGGGACAGGTGTTGTGTGGACAGCCTACTATATTACTAGGAACCTCTTACGTTAAAGAAAACATTGCCATGGAGGAACATACAGAAATGATACAAATGCAGCAGAACTCATGGCCCTGAGCTGTGAAAGTCTACTGGCATATATAAAACCGTCCACCCATGAATACATTGCATGCAGTTACTTCTTAATGCTCACCGGTTACTGCCACATGTGTACTGAGAGAAGCAAGGGTCTCAGAGATATGCAATGCCAGCACTTCTATGCACAGATGATGATACCCTTTGGGGCAACCATGATAACAGTGTCATGTATCTGGGCCCTGCAGAGCTCTTACACTGCTGCCTGCAGAAAATAACACAACTGTCACTGTGGGGCTGATTTATGAAAGCTGGAGCAAAAGTGCAGATAATACCAACAGCAAGCAACCAGGATCCATGATTCCTTTAAAATCCAGTTGCTGTGGAAAACAGCTCCACTTACATAGTATTTGAGGTTGCATAAAGACACAGGTCCATCAACTTCAACCTTTGTGTGTCTGTGTGTGATTCTGCTCCAGTTTTCATAAGTTAGCCCCAGCGACTTGAGATCTGCATACACATGAATACAAGCTCTGAGCACAAAATGGCTGCTTCCAGTTTGAAAGTGACAGGTACACTTTAATACTTTATACAGCTACACTTCAGCCTTTCCAAGCCATATGATACACAGTACCAGCATATGCAAGTTCACCCGCTTACAAATGTAGCATCCTTTCCGTTAGGATATGCAAGTGACTTTCAAACTGTACTCTTTCACAATTCTTTCGTGTAATAAAACACTCTGCATACTTTTGGCAATAAATATCAGCAAAGTGTTAAAAGGATTGTCCATTTAATTTTTCGCAACAGATCACTGACATACTATCAAAGCGACTGGAAATCCAAAGGTTTGCACTTGTTACTATAGTCCAAGGTGAATGCTGTGGCTTTTTTTCATATGTATGACTAGTCATGGCATATAAAACAAAAAAAGTTTGTCACACTTGAGTCTGATGTTGGGTTTCCATATAGGGAATGTGGGACTGATCGATCCGAAAGTTGTCTAAACTTTCATAGTCACTTATGGGCACTTCTGTGTCTTCTAGTCCACAACTAGCTGAGACATCTGATGAGGAAGCACCCACAGAATTGTGCAAGGATAAGGAGACGTTATCTGTGCTTGTCTTGTCCATATTTTGGCTTGGACCAGGCACAAAAGTACTAAAAGAAAGTCCAGCTTGGGAAATCGACGTGTCTATTTCACTGGAGAGATGATGGGGCGGGAGGTATTGGCTTGGGTGGAACTGTGGACGACGCATACAGTCCGGACTGAGCGTACTGACCACGGTTCGTGGCTGTACTTTTGGAAGAGTGTCGTAATGTTCTTGGAAGTCCTCCGGAAGCGGCAACTGATCTTGGCTTAAATAGTCTTCATGTTGGGGAGGTGGGTAATCGCTGTCGATGTCGTAGCCACCGAGGTAGTAGTCGGACTCCAACTCTCTAGTGCTACCATGGTGTGCGGAGGAGCCATCAGCGGCTTCGTAGTTTGGAACCTCTTCAATGTCTGACAGTTGTGTGTTTGGCATCCAATCGGAAGTATCCCAATGGTAAGCTGTTAAAATATAATATGTAAATTAATATGTATAAAGTTGAGGAATTATACATCCATCCCCTCGGAATTCCACATGCTTCTGTTAATGGTAAATCAGCCATGCGTTTGTGTACCTGTACAGTAGTAAAACATAATTCTGTGAAAGATGAGAGTAGGCAAGCTAGACACTTTCTTTATGTCTTCCAGTAATGAAGGTTTTAGTGCATATTGTTAGTCCTTTGCACTTCCCTAGCGTTCTCCTGTTACCGTACTATGGCAGAAGAGGCAGATTATCCTGTGGTTTGTATTATGGTCCTCAAAAGCCCCACATAATGCAAGGACTATTACTTTATTATATTATTTATAATAATATTTATGATTATTACTGTATTGTCTACACTGGGCATGCACAGCAAGCAATATGGGACAGTGCAGCTATAACCCGATTGCTTCTAATGCCATGCCTGCATGTTCACTTAGAGCGATATTCTTGTTGAATACTGCTTGAAGGAAAGTGTCAGAGCTACAATGCAGGCAGAAACCGTTTCAGAAAAACCCCTAGCAATAAATGTGGGTAGCATCACCAGAGGTAGAGGGATGAAAGCCCCCAAGCAGACAGAAAGTGTCCATTATACATTGGGGATGATTTACTAAAGGCAAATCAGCTGTTCACTTCGCAAGCGAATTTGCATTTAGCAGGGGAAGTTTCTCCCTTAGCTTAGTGAATGTGGTGAAGCTCTGTTGGCTTCCGTCATCAAGTCATGAGTTAGCAAAAATACTAGTTCTGATTCCTTGTACCTAATTCGGTATTCTTTGCAAAGTAACATTTCCCCTCATTCACTAAGTAAGGGGAAACTTCCTCTGCAAAGTGCAAATTCCCTTGCAAAGTGAACATCCTACTTGCCTTTAGTAAATCAATCCCGTTGGCTGTTTTCTTGAGATTACGTGGTTGAGTTACTAAAGGCAAATAGTGCCTTGGCAGGGGAATGTGCTCTTTGCAGGGGACGTTTCCCCTTAGCTTAGTGAATGTGGTGAAGCTCTGCTGACTTCCATCATCCAGTCATGCGTAAGCAAACATACTAGTTTTGTTTTCTTGTACATGATTGGGTATTCTTTATAAAGGGACATTTCACCACATTCACTAAGTAAGGGTAAAATTCCCCTGCAAAGTGCAAATTCCCTTGCAAAGTGAACAGCCTATTTGCCTTTAGTAAACCAACCCCATTAATTGTTTTCTTGAGACTACGTAGTTGAGTTACTAAAGGCAAATAGTGCCTTGGCAAGGGATGTGCACTTTGCAGGGGATGTTTAGTGAATGAGGTGAAGCTCTATTGACTTCCATCATTCAATCAAGTACAAGCAATACTATTTTTTTTTTATTTTCCTTGCTCCTGATTGGGTATACTTTGCAAAGTGAAATATTGCCACATTCACTGAGCTAAGGGAAACATCCCCAAGTCATATGCAGAAATTAATAGGGACTGTTCTTGCAAGAGCTTAGTGTCCCCCATAAATGCACAGCGGTTGATTTACTAAAGGGAGATAGGCTGTTCACTTTGCAAAGGTATTTTAACATATCAACCCCTGTGCATCTATGGGGGACACAAAGCTCTTGCAAAGAACAGGCCCTATTATTTTCTGTATATGACATGGCTAGAGGGAAAACTGCAGGCAGCATCTAGTCACAGGCTTTGGCTACCATTTTGAAAAGCCTGCGTCTCAGGGGAATGGAGCACTTTAGCCAAAAGAAGACAATGGGGCTTGTTTACTTAAGGCAAATAGACTGCCCGCTTTGCAAGGGAATTTTCAATTAGCTTAGTGAATGTGTTGAAATTCACTTTGTATAGAATACCCAATCATGTACAAGGAAAATAAAAAAAAAAAACAGTATTTTGCTTGCACGTCATTGGATGATGCACGTTATTGGATGATGCTAAGGAAAATTTCCCTTGCAAAGTTAACAGCCTATCTGCCTCTAAAAAAATCAACCCTAGTATTTCTGGGTTTGCCCTCTTTGAAAACGTTCCCTACTTTAAGGGCACTATAAGTTTAAAGGGCCTATGACATGCTTGCAAACTCCTAATGGCCAGTCTGACCCTCTGTGTATTAGTTTGCCATGGCAGGCTCCACTGTTATTTAACACATGACAACAAATTCTCCCACAGCATGACAACCTTACTATAATTATCCTAGAACACAATTTGATGGTAAGTGTGAAGATGTTTTTTTATTAATATCGGAGGCAGGACTTCACATTTTCTAAATACTCGAAAACCTTCATAACTAAAAGAACGTGTGTGTTTAGTTTCCTTTCCCTCTAATTTGGCAACAAATTACTGTAAAAACAATATGTTCCCTTTAAATTCACAAGTTTGTACATGCTTCCAAGCGTGGGTCATTAAAGCAATACATCAATGTTAAGTCATATGTTATACAACAAGGTGAGTCGCAGTCCGGACACTGTTACAGCACGGCTGTATTAGATGACACGATACCAGCATGCTGGGGCATAAACATCCAGAATTGGGTTTTCACAAGCAGGCAGGCAAAGCTTTCAAAAACGGGTTTTCAGGATTGAAACATTATCTTCAAGAGACGTGGTTAAAGGGGCTTTATGGAACACAACAATAAAAAGGCAGCAGGATTTGGGGTTACATATGTCACCTCTGTTGTAATTCTGTCCTTGGTCCATTACCGAAGCTGTTTCGTTCACAGAAAAGGAGAACAACACAGTTCACAAAAAGCAATCAAAATGAAAAAGGACATTTTTTTTCATGCATCATCAATGTCATTTCAGTTATTTTCTTTTTCTTCCTAAACAGTTGATATTATCCCCATTAAAAGTTTTACAGAACATAAAAAAAGGAACCCCCCCCCCACCCCCACAAAATGTAAAAGAAGAGGTTTTACACAACAGAAAAATAAACAGATCACATGGGGTATTAAAACATTTTTTGCAGGCATTTTCAAAAATAGTTTGTATTTCCTTTATTTTATACTTTTAGTTTTACAACTGTTTATGTAGCATTTAAAAAAATGTTTTACAGAATAGAAAAACGTACAAAACTATAAACAAAACCTAAATAAAGTTTATCAGAACATAAAAGCGTGTCTTTTCATATAAAAAAGACAAAAATTAAATGATTTTCTTGCTTTTAAGTGTCTACAAGATTTCCTATTAAATTTAAATATGTAAAAAAAAAAAACACATTCTTTTACCTAATCCAACTTCTTTTGCATTATACAGTTGTGTGAAAAAGTGTTGGCCCCCTTCCTGATTTTTCATTGTTTTGCACGTTTGTCACACTTTAATATTTCAGATCATCAAACAAATTTAAATATTAGTCAAAGATAACACAAGTAAACACAACATGCAGTTTTTAAAGGAAGGTTTTTATTATTAAGGGAAAACAAAATCCAAACCCACATGGCCTGTATGAAAAAGTGTTTGCCCCTCCTGTTAAAACATAACTTAACTCTGGTTTATCACACCTGAGTTCAATTTCTCTAGCCACACCCAGGCCTTATTACTGCCACACCTGTTCGCAAGCAAGAAATCACTTACATAAGACTTGACTGACAAAGTGAAGTAGATCCTCAAAAGCTACACATCATGCCGAGATCCAAAGAAATGCAGGAACAAATGAGAAAGAAAGTAATTGAGATCTATCAGTCTAGAAAAGGTTATAAGCCATTTCTAAAGCTTTGGGACTCCAGCGAACCACAGTGAGAGCCATTATCCACAAATGGCGAAAACATGGAATATGGTTTTGCAGAGTAAAAGTAACAAAATATAAAACAATAAAAATACAAATATTTAGATCAAAAGCTAAATAAACTTAATATATTTAAATGACCGCTAAACACAAATGACATTATTGTCATTAGTAAAGTGACACCAAACTCAGAGTTAAATCTTAAAAATAACTATTAACAAAAATGTATCTTATTTGTGTATCACTCGGCTGTAGATCCTCAAATCATCTCTGAATTGGTGCTGACACTGTCCTTCCTTCTGGAGGGTGGCTACTTTTGTCCCCCATGGTCCCTGTGTGTGATGTAAAGTAGTCACCGCTCCAAGCTAGGTCCCATGATGGACTACAATCTCAAATATAGTTTACAAATTTGTATTGAGATAGTCCATCACGGGAGTAAGCTTGGTCAGATTCGTCTTTATTACCTAGAACCACTAAAAATGGAGACACTGATTCTTATGCGCAATACAAAGAGTTCTTTCATACTTAAAATTTTAAGTTAAAGCAACTGTCGCTAATATATATATCTATATAGATATATATAGATTTGTACCAGCCAATGTAAGAACATGGACCTCTTCAGCTCTTGTATACCTCTTATGGATCAGAACAATTTGTACATTTCCACTATGGACTTGTTTAGTTGGCGATGACTTTGTCAGTACCTAAAGTTACACCAAACTCAGGAGATAAATCTTAAAACTGAATTCAAGCAGTCACCGCTCCAAGCTCACTCTTGCGATGGACTACAATCTCAAATTTAGTCTACTACTTTGTATTGAGATTGTAGTCCATCACGGGAGCGAGCTTGGGGCGGTGACTACTTTACAACACACACAGGGGTCATGGGGAACAAAATTATCCGCCCTCCAGAAGGAAGGACAGTGTCCGCACCAATTCAGAGATGTTTTGAGGATCTACAGCCAAGTGATACACAAATAAGATACATTTTTAGTAATAGTTAAGGTACTTGAATGTATTTTGTAAGATTTAACTCCGGAGTTTATTGTTAAAAAACGATAAACAATATTTTGTATCTAAGTAATTGTGTGGTTCATTGTACTTGTCATTTTGGTGCCATTAAAGCCCACTTTTCTTCCTTTACCTTTTTGACCTCAGTTTATTGTTACTTTAATATATTTAAATAACCACTAAACATAACTTACATTATTTTAATTAAACTATACCTGCCAGCTTCTAAATATTAGCTAAGCTAATAAAACTAACACAGTGCAGGTGCGTCAGTGTGATGCACCTATGACAATCCTTAAGTCATTTCCTATTTCCTTTGTTAATATAGCTGGTTTTTAGGACCTGACAAGTTGTTAAAGGAGAACTATGGGGTTAAGGCTTTTCCCCATAGTTCTCCTTAGGGTAACGGGAGGACACAAACTAGCGTCTTCCCGTCACCCTAGGCTCAGCAGCAGCTCGCGGTATACTGAGACGCCGCAGCTGAAGCGGATCCCGACAATTGTGGCGGGATCCGCCCAGCTGCGTGAGTGACAGCTGGCTCTGCCTATCTAGAGGCAGAGCCAGCTATACCCGCCCCCTCCCCCGTCCGTTCCGCCAGTCAGCGCTGGAGGATCGGAGCGGGGAGAGGGGAATCCAGCCCCTCGCCTGTCACGGCAGAGAGCTGTGACAGGATCGAGAGGTGAGCGAACGCCGGTATGTGTTCGCTCACTTCCCGATCTACTGAGCCGACCTGTGACAGGCTCATTGTCACAGGTCGGCTAGAACTATGAGGTGACTGAAAAGCACTCACCTCATAGTTCTCCTTTAATAGAAAATATGACATTTGTTGTAGTGGTTTGTTTTAATATATTCTGATTAATTAATTTCCTACAACTTTGGCTTATTTGTCTAGAAATCATATGTAAAGTTATTTTAGATAAATTGACCAGCAACTCATATTCAGTGTTCACTGTTTAAATATAATAATAGAATCCAGATGCTGGATGCATGCTAGAAGTGATATTATTAAATCGTAAATATAAAAAAAAACTGAACTGATAATAAATCGTAATCAGCCATATCACATAATAAATGTACAACTTAAAAAGTTATCTAAGGAATGCACTCTTGGTCGTGAAAGATACAGAGAGTATCGGGAAAAAAGTAAATACCTTCATTTTCAATATTATCAACAATATTGTTGACTAGATGAATGACAGTCACTATGGAAGCTTGTGGTGGGGAAAACAGAGAACACGGGTTGAGGAGAAAGGGAGACAACAGAGAAGTTAGTATTATAACACACAAACACTGTTATGTCATCCTTTAATACATTCTGTATAGGGATGTTCAGATACCAAGTACTGTACTAGGTGCAAGAACAGATACTTTTCCACCTCCAAGACTAGACTAGACAAAAACTCAAAAGTTAGGAGGCGGCTGTCATGTGTAAGGAGCATACGGAGCTCCTGGGATTTGTACATCTCTGTTATAATGTATGATTTTATTTTTACAATTATATATTTGGGAGGCACTGATACAATTTTTCCCAAGTAGAAGTACTGATACTTGTCCAAGTACTCACAGATACAAGTACTGATAAATTTTTCTTTATTGTCATGTGACAGTTTTTCCAAAACAATACAGACTAATGATTTCAGGACAGTGGTGGAGCGCCAGAGCCAGGTCCCAGCTGCAACCGCCGCAACCCTGATAGTTCTCATGAAAATGCCAAGTGTCGGCACTGGTATCTGAACATTCCTAATTCTGTATATATTCACAGATTTATTTCTGCTGATACTTAGTATCAGTAAATCAACGGATTCGGTTAGTTACATACATTTATTATCCTCAATTATTTAATTATTGTACACTTACAAACACTGATTACATCACCAACATTCTATATTACCGTATTTTGCGCTCCATAAGGCGCACCGGACCATAGGACGCAGGCAGGTTCTGTGACAGTTTCTGTCACAGAAACTGTTATAGAAGCTGCAGTTAGTGACCCCTGAGACAGGTGGCACTGTGATTACAGCGCCACGGTCTCAGTGTTCACACAGAGTAAAACTAACGTCCTTCGTCTGCTCTAGGGGCTCTATGGTGAGCTCCTATCCCATGGTCACGTGCCCCCCCCCCAGGAGCAGGGGACCCCGAAAACCATGGGGGGGGGGGGGGGCAGACACGATCGCCGCCGACGCTCGGTTTTAATACAAGCGATCTGAATAGATCGCTTGTATTAAACGAGCAGCGGCTCCCACTGTACATTTAGGTCTGCTTTAGCAGAGCTAAATGTACAGAAAACGACTCGCCCTGTGCCCGAAAACTGCATGTTCCGGGGGTCGGGCAATAGGGATTCACTCCATAAGATGCACACACATTTTCCCCCGACCTTTGGGGGGAAAAAGTGCATCGTATGGAGCGAAAAATACGGTAATTGTATCAGCAGTGCCCCCATATTGATTAAATTGGCATTTCCAAATATTGATAATATGCGCAATATCCTATATAGATTATATCAGCATTCACTATTATTGATTATATCAGCAAAGTTATATACTGGTTACATTAGCAATATCTCATATTGATACTGTATATCAGTAATGATATACCATCAATGCCTCCTTACTCATCTGTTGTCCCATAATAACATAATGATATTAGTTTTGCCCCTTATTGATCTTATTTAGCAGTGACCCCTGTTCGGCAGACGTCTGCATGTTCTACCTAATTTTAGAGATATCAATATTGCTGAAACATGAATACATTGTCCAAGATATACATTGAAGATGCAGATATTAGATACCAGCTGCTAAAGGGAAGAGTCTTGTTTCGGCACATATGGCATAGATGCATTAAGGAATATGGCTCTAAGGATAGTTCCGCACCAACAAAAAAAAAGGTCACCACCTGGGCTTAATAAAGGTCCTCTATGATTAAAGTCCATTTCCACCTTTGTAAGTGATTTGCATGTATTGTGATACTGTGGAGGTGCAGTGATCATGTATACATGTGCACATTTTCATGACTCACATTGCAGGCTTTCTTCATTTTTTTAAAAAAGGAAAGCTAACAAACAATTACAAGAGGAGTTCAAGAGTTTTAAATGTGCTCAAATGCAGAATCCAAATCCTGCACTTTTCCCCCGTTATTTATCTATTTTTTCCCCCTCTGAATAAATATGTTTATCAGTCAGCTGTTTTTGTTCCCGTTTTGACAGCCGAGCATAATACGAAAATGACGTTTCTCTATTTTCTTTGAAAGGTCAGCTAAACACTGATATTGATGGAAGGAAAGTTTAGAAGACCGCAAAGCACTGCAGTCAAAATATTTAGTAACTACGGCAACTGGGATACAGGAAGGACAGATGAAATATTTGGATAATTTAGTCGCTAGTCAGCGGCATTAGACCTCTCCTGAAAAGTAATTGCTTTAAATAGCTCTCAGTACACTGGAGTTCATCAGTCCATCTCGTGCTTCTCATCCCGCGAGCTGCAATAGTCTGTAAACAATGAACGCGCTCCATTATGACCTGGCTGGCTTTTCTCTACGAGAAGATTTTGTCTGAATTTAACGTGAAAACAAAGCTGTCTACGGTCATTATATTAACCATTTCAGCTCCCTTATGGGCCAGAGTATTTATTTTTTCTCTGTGAGCTTATCGATTCGGCAATTACTTTGTCATTTTAAATGACACCCAAGTACTGCATATATTGTTTTTTTTTTCAAACAAGTCTTTCTCTTAGTAATATTGTCTTGCATTTCTTTTTTAATATTTTCTATGAGATCTACGGTTAACGAAGAACTCCAGGCAAATAAAATCTTAACCCCCATAACCTTGCACTGCAAGGGTTAAAGGAGACCTATGAGGTGAGTGCTTTTCACTCACCTCATAGTTCTAGCCGACCTGTGACAATGAGACTGTCACAGGTCGGCTCAGTAGATCGGGACGTGAGCGAACACATACCGGCGTTCGCTCACTTCTCGATCCTGTCACAGCTCTCTGCCGTGACAGGGGAGGGGCTGGATTCCCCCCTCCCCGCTCCGATCCGCCAGCGCTGACTGGCGGAACGGACGGGGGAGGGTACAGCTGGCTCTGCCTCCAGATAGGCAGAGCCAGCTGTCACTCACGCAGCTGGGCCGATCCAGACAGTAACGCCGGGATCCGCTTTAGCTGCAGCGTCTCAGTATACCGCGAGCAGCAGCTCGAGGTATACTAAGCTTAGGGTGACGGGAGGACGCTAGTTTGTGTCCTCCCGTTACCCTAAGGAGAACTATGGGGAAAAGACTTAACCCCATAGTTCTCCTTTAAGTGCTCATTTTGCCTAGACAGATAAAATAACAAAGCTATACTGAACTATAATCCCAACTGGCTCCTACACCACTCCCTCCCCCTCCAGGCAAACAAAATCATAACCCCTGCACTGCAAGAGTTAAGTGCTCATTTTGCCTAGGTAGCTAAAATAACACAGTTATACTCACCCGACCCATGATCCCAACTGGCTCCTACACCACTCCCTCCCTCTGCTCCAGTGATGGTATGTCCCTCGGTGTCCTCACGTCCTGTACACTGTATAGGCCATGATAAATAACTCACATGACCTTGGACGGACGGAGGGGAGGCAGAGCGAGGTTGGAAGAAGTGGTGGGATTGGGATCGTGATTTGGGTGAGTATATCTGCTAATTTAGCTCCCTAGGCAAAACGAGCACTTAACCCTTGCAGTGCAGGGGTAGCCCCACTGGAAGGGTTAAGATTTGATTTGCCGGGGGTTCTTCTTTAAAACAATGTAATAAAACATGAACCAGAATGACTAGAGATTGTTTGGAAAATAACTTGTGTTACTGTAGACTTGTGTTTTTTTTGGGTGGTTAAGCCTGGGTTCACACCTGGGCGTTCGTAATATGCACGTTTTATCCCGCTTGTTTTTAGCGCGATTTCCTGTCCACAAAACGCGCGTTTGACACGCGTTTATGAAATCTCTATTTAGAAGTCCAATGGATAAGCGCTGAAATCTGCCCCAAAGAAGCTCAAGTACTATTTCGCACGTAGGGCGTTTTTCAGCGCGACAAAACGCTCTGAAATACGCCCATGTGGGAACCATGCCCATAGCAATTAATAGGATTTCACTTCATGAGCGTTTTTCAGCGCTGAAAAACACCCAGGTGTGAACCCAGCCTTAGGGATGGGAGGGATTTTTTTTTTTTTTTAGTTGAGACCCCTAGGGGGGAAGAATGGTTTTAATACCAATGGGAAGGGACATTTATGGTGGCTGTTTTAGGAAAAAGTTATGAATATCTTTCTCATCTGTTTTAGATTGGATTTCTCCCCGGGAGAATCTTTTAACAGGATGTTTACATGTTTATATGTCTGTATTGTTATAAATCGAAACAATAAAGAAATATTATACCCAAACAAATATATACAATGTAATTTTTAAATCATTATTATTACTATAATAGAGGATCTATCAAGCGCCAACAGTTTGCTCAGCACTTTACAATTCATTATCACTTCTCCTAATTATAATGACACTAAATTAACTTTTACTTACAAATCATAGCAAAGATATTAAACAAAATATTTTTTTATGTTGTGCATTTTTATAATGCGATTCTGCAAAAATAAACAAAGAAGATGAGTGAAATAAAAAAAAAATGTTTTGTATTTTAAAAAAAAAATGGCCAGAAATTATACATGAAAGAAAAAAGGAAGAAAGTAAGGTTATCAGTGCTGCTTAGGGTTCACTAGAAACAACTTATATTAAATGAGAACTCCAGCCAAAATTGTTATTAACCCTTGCAATGGGACTATCCCTGCACTGCAAGGATTAAGTGTTAATTTTGGTCTAGGGGAGAAAATAGAAAAAAGTTATACTCACCTGATCCTTGCTCTTAGACCGGTCCCTGGAGCTCGCTTGCCCTCAGCTGCAGCAGTCTAAGGTCCCAGGATTCATCACGTCCAATACACTGTGTATAGGATGTAAGGACACCGAGGGACATACCATCACTGCAGCATAGCGGTGACACATTCTTAAAGCTGAACTCCAGGATAAGCAGTGAGCAGAACTGTGTGAGGGGGCCCAGCAGGCTCCACCCACTGCAAGCTGCCTGCAGGAAACTACAGAAGGGGGCGTAGACAAGACCAGTCACCCTGCACAAGGAGGGAGAGCAGCAGTGAGCGGTCTTTATTATAGGAGGGGGCGGAGACAAGACCAGTCACCCTGCACAAGGAGGGAGAGCAGCAGTGAGCGGTCTTTATTATAGGAGGGGGCGGAGACAAGACCAGTCACCCTGCACAAGGCGAGAGAGCAGCAGTGAGCGATCTTTATTACAGGAAGCCCCAAGTGTCACACCGGATTACTACACAGATCTGGAATAAATACACAAAGCTCACCCAGAGGCCAAGAAGAATGCAGATATTATTTGCTTATCTTGGACTTCTGCTTTAATTATTTCCTACTCTATCCCCAAATTGAAAAAAAAAGTTTTATCTTTAGATAATATAATATTAGTAGACTTTACTCTTATTATTTCTGTACAGATCTGCTCTGTTGAGAGCAGACCAACGTATATAGGCAAACATTGGCACAGAATCTATTTAACCAGAACACTGCTAGTTGTGTTCACAATATTACCGAGCTTCATAAGCGTCCAACAACTGCACATTTCCTTCACGAAGAGAACAAAAACAAGGCACACGGGGCCTTCAAAGACAACGACGCACACAGAAACCAATAACCAACGGCTGATAAAACATAGCGCGGAATGATAAAGCGATTTTTCTTACCATTGTCATCTCCGGAGTCGGACTGAAAAGAGTTCAGTGACTGGTTTTCAGAATTGCTTCCTTTTGTACTCCCCACAAAGCAGGTCACCTCTTCGGCCGGCTCCAATCCTCTACCTTAATAGACATCAATAAGAGGAAACAATCGTCATATTTCTACACCCCACAAGGACGGCCACCCCAGTTCTGGGAAGCAGGATATAGCACCGTGCGGGACCCCATGGCGGCAGCGATGTACAGGGAGAAGCAGCAGTACATCAGAATATACAAAACTCAAGGTCGTTCAAGAAGAAACGTTATGGTACGCTAAAGTGCAGGTCGACGCACTGCAACATATAAAGGAGAACTATGAGGCGAGTGAAAATCACTCAGCCTTACAGTTCTAGCCGACCTGTGACAATGAAACTGTCACAGGTCGGCTCAGTAGATCGGGAAGTGAGCGAACACATACCGTCGCTCGCTCACTTCTCAATCTATCCCTGCAGAGAGCAGTGACTGTCACTCACGGCTCCCTGCAGGGACTCCCCCCCCCTTCCCCTTTCCGATCCTCCAGCGCTGACTGGCTTTGGGTGACGGGAGGATGCTAGTTTGTGTCTTCCCGTTAAAGCCCTGACCCCACAGTTCTCCTTTATAGCAATATCTAACCTATGTAGATGCGTTGATGTGCCTTTGAAATGCATAGCTGTGAATGGCACCTTAGAGCACCCCTATCATGAGAGGTATATGGGGGCTGCCATTGCTGTGTGTCAGGACTTTTAAATTGCTAACAGCATTCACCCAAAGAGAATCAGTAAAACGTCCCAACTCCTTCTATCTATACTTGTCCCTGGCCAGTGGAAGCCAAAGCATCAACTCCATCATTTTTTTATAGAGCAGGGAAGTGTTCATTGCTGTCTGTGTCCCGCCATGAAGATTCGTCTACTCAGTTCGTCCTGGTGACACAAAAGGTGATGGAAAATCCAACATTTCTGAGTTGTCACCAGAACAGGAATAGAGGAGAAATGTTCCAATGAGGACACTTGTTCTGGAGGCTGTTTAGAATGGCATTTCCTTCACCTTGCGGTGATTTTGTCTCAGTTCCTGCTGTACCTCCAGGACAGGAAGTGAACAGAAATCTCCCCAACTGCACAGGGACAGCAAAAAAGAAAGTTGCAGGAGTTGTAATCCTTCTCTACTCTTCCCAAAACTCTAAAAATGGCTATACATGCACTTTAAATTGTTTTATGTGGTTTTATTTAATCAGTAGTTATTTTAATTTAAGACAATGCTGTCTCTCCTTAAAAATAAAGCTTTGTGGAAGAGGGAGGAGGAGTCACTGCTCTGACTTAAGCACCCATGTGTAAAATCCACCTTGAGCTATTGAGCTCTGTAAACAACAGGTATTTTACATTAGGCAAAAAAGGAGAAACAGAAAATCGTGAAAAGGAGTTGAGACCTCCACCTGCTGGCTGTATATGAAAATAAAGATTATTCATATGCCAGATTTCATATTTATTTAACTAAAATGAAAAGACAAAAATATATTTTAAGAATGTATTTTTTTTTTTTTTAGTCCTCGCCTATCCTCCCTGTATTGAAATTGTATCGTAACTGTGCTGCCTCCCTCCATTTTGTAAAGCGCTGTGCAAACTGTGCGCTGTGCAAACTGTTGGTGCTATATAAATCCTGCATAATAATAATAATACAATTCATAACAACACCTTTAATAGGCAGAAGAAAATGAATTGTAGAATCTGACCAGCTGCTTTGGACCCCTAAGGACAATATTTTGCTTGCCCTCTGGTGATTCATGTAACTAGCTCTACCCAAGCTGATCATAAATAATGTATGTGCAATAAAAAAGAGGGACAGGCTGACACCCAGGTACTGCTACACCGGCTCAGTTAGCCTTCTTGACTGTATTCATGGGTGCACATCACACAGTTTAAAGAATTCTGGGCAACACTTGTATTAACCCTTGCAGTGGGGCTACCCCGGCACTGCAAAGGTTAACTGCTTTTTTATATCTAGGTGCAACAATAAAAACGTTATATTTGCCGAGATCCTCAGAGCCGGCTTGCTTTTCAACTGATCTCTGGAGCCTCTCTCCCCTTCTGCTGCAGCGGTCTAAGGATCCTCCAGTCACCACATCCAATGCACTGTCTATAGGACGTGGAGACTCCGAGGGACATATCATCACTGAAGTGAAGGAGACAGGCGGGAGGGAATGCTACCACAGCAAGCCAACTCAAAGGATTGGGTAACTTTCTTATTTTCCTCCCTAGACCAAAATGAGCACTTAACCCTTGCAGTGTGGGGGTTAATAAAAGTTTCCCCCCTAGTTGCTCTTTACAGGAGAACTATGGGGTCAGGGCTTTTCCCCATAGTTCTTCTTAGGGTAACGGGAGGACAAAAACTAGCGTCCTCCCGTCACCGTAAGCTCAGTATACTGAGACGCCGCAGCTGAAGCGGATCCCGACAATTATGTCTGGATCCACCCAGCTGCGTGAGTGACAGCTGGCTCTGTCTATCTAGAGGCAGAGCCAGCTGTACCCGCCCCCTCCCCCGTCCGTTCCGCCAGTCAGCGCTGGAGGATCGGAGCGGGTAATCCAGTCCCTCCCCTGTCACAGCAGAGAGCCATGACAGGATCGAGAGGTGTGCGAACGCCGATATGTGTTCGCTCACTTCCCGATCTACTGAGTCGACCTGTGACAGTCTCATTGTCACAGGTTGGCTAGAACTATGAGGTGAGTGGAAAGCACTCACCTCATAGGCCTCCTTTAAGTAATAGGGAGCCGCTAACTTGCAGCTCTGATTTCCGCACTGATAACGCCGCGCACATTACCACCAATAATAATCTGCAATTGGTCCGAAAGCTGTCAGCAGAAAATCTTCTGTCCTCATGTCCCCAGATAACTTCTCATCATGACGGCTTCTACTTTGAAAGCTTTTCTATGGTAACTGTCTATGGGAGGTAGATGTGGAAAGCTGCTAATGCCTTCTCCATCCTGAACACAATCCCACCTTACACTTAATGCATTGGACTTTGCCTGATAACACTCTAAGTAGAGAAATAACAATTTCCCCGATATGTCAGATATAAAAAGTGCAGTTTTATAAAGATCTCTTCTGAGGAAACCCACTGAAGTGGGAGAGTGTACATAAATGTGTTTCATGTCTACAAATGGCTTTCCTGCTGAGATTGTTTTAATCAAGGAACATAGATACCCTTATTTCTACAAAGCTGCAACCCAAACTGATTAAACATTGTTTTCTAAAGTGCTGCGGATCATAAACCATTGACAATTTTTTTTTTAAATACGTGTTTTGCAAATTTTTATTCTTTGCTGCAGCTCTTTATTGTTGATCTCCTGCAGCCTATCATGGCTGCATTGCATTTCTTAGGGTGGCTTCCTCACCATGCGAGGCATCTAGTTGTAGTCTCCATTGGAAGCTCATGTGCCAGGGTGGCAACACAAAAGCACAACTGAAAGATGGGGTCAGACTGTTGTCACCTTTTACCAAGTAGTGCCTAAACAATGACTGGGTCACCTGGTGTTTTTATAATGAAAGCTGTCGTTTTAAAAATATTGAAAATGAGTATTGACATTACAACAGCATGTTAAAGAAGAACTGATCCCCGCAGCCTCTTCTTCCCTGGGCTCCGGTGGCCTATTGACTAATGATGTCCTCACGTCTATACAGTCTGAATTTACTAGAAAAATAATTTTCTTCAGGAAGAGTCAGTTTCCTGGCACAGCCCCCACCCCCTCCTTGCAATCATAACCCTTCCCTCTTCTGGGATAGTATAATTACTTGGATGTGATATCAACAGCCGGCTGGCCCAGCTCCTTCGTCCCTCCCCTCCCTACATGACCTTTTATGCAGCTACCAGGGGAGGAGTGAAGGGAAAAAATATAGAGTGTTACTTGAGGGACAGCTCTCAGTCTGCTGGGGCTGTCGATATGACATCCAAGATGGTGGTGCCCAGCAGAAGACTTAAGGCTCTTGGAAGTCTACACAAGGGAGGCTTCTACAGGTATGTAACATGCCGAAAATATGTTAAATATGCATAATATTATAGGAAAGGGTGCTGTTGAAATTAATAGTCTGGTGACAGGGTCTCTTTAATGCCCTCTCCTATATGTTTACTATGTATCAAACGTGACTTACAATCATGTCCTGAGTCCCACGGTCCTTTCCTGATAGAGTCACAGTCAGAACGGCACGGCGACACCGATGGCATGTTGGGAGCCACACTGCACACCACCACCCCTCTTCGAGCCGTCAGTATCCTCGGAGACTCCGGATGGAAAGTTGTCATCTCCTGGTGCTCCACGCCCAGACCGTCCACCATCTTATCAAGATTGTTCCGAGATTCGCTCTGGAAACAAGGAGTGTAAGCCATGGGCCGGACCGGGACTTGCGGCGGTCCAACCTCTTGGTAAATGTTTCTACTATCTCCGCCGCTGCGAAGGTTCTTGAACTGGATCCCGTTGGTTTTATTCAGAAGAGCCGCAGTGGCTGGGTCTTGGACGAGAGTGATGTTGTTACGCGAGTAGTTTTTGCGGAACACCTTCTTCCGGAATACTATGAAGAGGACGATGAGGACAAATATGACGAATAGCACCACGGCTATTCCGATCAGCTCCTCTTTGCCGACATAGGAGTGTCCAGCTTGGATGTTGGGAACAACCACGGGCCTCAGACCACAATACTGTCCAACGTATCCATGGGTACAGTTACAGAAGAAAGAACCGAAGATGTTCACACAAGTTCCACCATTTTCACAGTCCTCTCTCTCACACTCATTTATATCTTCTTCACACCTAGCGAGAGAATAAAATGGTTATTTGGGAAAGGATAGTTTAAGAAATAAGAAACTGTTTTAGAGGATAACTATAATTTAAAGCTAAACTCCGGCCTTCCCTTCAGTCTTGTACAGTTGTACCGGCTGCTCTCCTGGGCTGAAATTGCTTACTCTGATTTCACTGCACACAGTGAGCTTCTCACAATGTAAATTAGAAGCTGAAGCAAGTCAGATGGAGCTCGCAAGATATCCTGGTTGGTGGATGTCCAGCATCACCCAGAGCTTTCTCCCCAACCTGACTGTGCCCACCCCACTTTCAAACATTGGATTTTCAAAAAACATTCATTCTTAGTGAACTCAAACTATTTCTAAAGCCATTTCTTTTCCGTTTTGGATAAAGTAGGAAAGGGTTAAAACCCATTAGCTTTTCTTTCGCCATCTATAGCCCAACTGGGGAGATTTCCCTTCACATCCTGTTATGTAGAAACAACAGAATGTTGGAGGAAGCTTCTTCAAATTGAGGGAAATGCCCTCTTAGACTGCAGTCACCAAAAAAATGTCCCCTTTGGAAGTCCAAGAGCCCATTGCACTCTTGACCCATAAGTGCCTATGAATTAATGGGTACTGCGATGACAGATGGTGCGGCTCAGTGCAAGAAGAACAAAAGGTCACTGGCACTCCAGGATCGTGATCAATACGCTTTTAGTGCTGTATGCAAAAATTATCATATGACAGCAACATTTCTGAAGCTGAAAGGTCTTTATTTAGGGTTCGGCTAACAATTATTTTCATAATCGATTAGTTGCCCGACTATTTTTCCGATGAATCGATTAGTTGCATTAAAAAAATCTCTCTTTCTCTCCCTCCAACCAACAAATCGATAATGAGAATAGTTGACAACTATTCTCATAATCGATTCGTTGGTTGTAGCCCTAGCTTTATTACCCGCCCACTGCCCCTCTTCCCCAACACGAATGGCTTTAATGTGCTGGTGTGCATTCTGATAGAATTTTGAGCACCCAACTCAGCTGTGACCTGTGCCTCACGGGAGCTTGAGCCCAGGGTAGTGCTTTAATTCTTTTTATAAGGAAGAGTTTGGTTAAGCAATGATGACTTTTTAAATCCATTTGTGTTTGGAGAGGGCATGGGGAAAGCACAAAAGCAGACCTTCCATTTTCATAGAGGGTCCACTTTAATCACGTTGTATGATAATGTTACGTGTGCCCTACTGATTCACGTGAAGTGTGAGTTTTAAAAGCCATCGACTTAAATGGGTATCTCTGGTCAAAACCGAAAACTAAATATGTATTTTTATATTGAATTTGCATACCGTCTCTCCCGCTCCTAATAATTATATCCATCTAGAAGTTTGTAAACTTACTTATTGAAGATACCCATAGGATGGAATTCCTCAATGAACTGACACAATTGATTCACACTTCCTTGAGTCACCACTCTACCTAAGCCTGCCATCTGAACTACAACTCAACATCTGAACAATGTAGCATTATCATTGCTTGCTGGAAGCAGTGCATGATGGGTGATGTAGTCTTGAGAAATAGAGATTGTATCACATCAAGCAGCAGGGAAATAGGCAGAAAGCACTCTGGGAATCCAGGAAGTTGATGAAAGTGATGGGCAGACGGAAGGCGGCACTCACTACATACATTTTTTTCAAGTAAGCTTTGATTGCATTATCAGTATCAACTCCAGTATGTATTTTTATTACAATGCTGATGTTATAACAGGGTAGTGTGTGCTGGGACTTTTCAACTCAGTGCTTCTTACTGCAGAAAGTTTTCTTTCACCACAAACAAATGAAAAATTGAACACATCGTCTCTCAATTAAAAAGGTTTTTCCTCAACGCAGCATTTGGTAAACTTGTCCTCCAGCCCAGAAGTATCACTAGCAGCGGGGTGCAGATGTTTCTGCGCATCAATTTCTAGATATGGAGAAGTGCTGTGACATGGACCTTCACATGAGTCATTACATCAGGATTAGAAAACGTATGATTCATTTGGGTCATCACCAGATCTGGTTTACACAGACCACCTGTAATAATCATATCATGCCGCGCTATTTCCTGCAAATCCCTTGTTGTTCGGTTGAAAGGGCCGGCGAACGGCGGCCGCGTGCAAGCACTTTGATATTCAAATGGGCAGCCACTTACGTTAATCCCCTCAGGCCGGGCCTGCAAGTGCAGATAAACGCGCTTCCAATCGGATCACACGTCCCACCATTCCGGCAAGGGTTTGGAAAGCATGCCGTGATCTCTGACTCACAGTTCTTCCCTATAAACTTAGATGGGCAACTGCACTGATAACCTATCGGAAGAAAAGAAAAAGACGTTATCAGCAAAGCGGCATCAATGAACACGGAAAGGCAACTATTGAGGGATTTTGCTGTAGCCCAGCGCCTCCTACTGGTCAATGTTACAAATAACACATTTTTTAGCTACAACATTTTCAACCTTTTTTGTTCTACAGAAAACAAATTAAGTATTGTTAAAGTTTCAATCTGTATTTCAATATGGACTCCGGATAAAACAAATAGACATTGTCCAGCAAATATTTTTTTTTTTTGCCCAAACACTTAGTCATCAAGTTTTCATACAGCTCCAACTCCCTAGGTTCAGCTTCCTTGAATCATCCTGTACAAGATCACAAGGGACATTAAAGTCTACAGCTGTCCATCTACTAGCTTGGAGAGGGGAGAAGGAGCATGAGGGAAATGACTTGCTGTGCTTATGTGTTTGTGGAGACACACAGAGGGGAATGTATCAAACCTGGAGCAGATAAAATCTGGAGCGGATTTGCAGTGCAATCAATCAGCTTCTCTGTCTCATTTTCAAATCTTACCTGAGCAAACTGAAGAGAGATGCTGATTGGTTGCCATGGGCAACTGCTCCAGATTTTACCTGCTCCAGTTTTGATAAATTCCCCCATCACAGCTTACTAGCACACACAAGGGTGGCTCCATAGGACCCTGCAAGGGAAAGGAGCCACCCTAAACAGGATATCAGGGCCAGTCCACAGGGGACCAGTTAATTCTGGAGGAAACTAAAACTTTTACAAATAAAGGAGCAGCATCCATTGTAAGTGACTTCATCACCATTTGGAATAGCTTAAAACATTCTGACTTTAATATCACTGTAAATCAAATTCTGACATACTGAAGGGCATATTAATAAAGGGGTGAATAATCAAGCTGTTAATCATTGGCCACTTTTTCACCACCCTTGGGAAGATGAGTAGGAGCTGGGTAGGATGCCATAGGCGCATTTTATAATTGGTACGCCTCTGCAGAGGCCACATTGGTAGACCTCTTCCTGTCCACAAGTCTGAACCTACAAAAAAGAAACTATATTAAATCACAGACTTTAGCAGCCTTCCTATAAGATTCTCCATCCTGGCTGGTCACAGTGCTCTAATGTGACTAAAGTGGATTTATTGGCCTGGTTGGCTAGTGCTAATAATGGGACATGGTACTATTTATTTTAATAGCAGCCACTGCAGGAGATAATCTCAGGTTCGAGGGACAATGCAGGAAATAAAAAAGAATGCACAAAGTTGCTGCGACACGAGCCCTGAGCAAATACTCCTTTATGACAATGTGATTGGGAACAGGAAAGCTTGTCTGCCCAGGTCCACGTTGATTGGCCCCATATTTCTCATTTTAATATCTGCCTTGAGCGTGGCTTTAATTTGAGCTTGTATATTTATGGTTGCAAATCCCCGGATTTTATCTTATTACACTTGTTTTTTCTCATGCAAAAGCATTAGAGTTAAATTTTAATTAACTGTTCTCCAATAATGTAACAATGACACAAAGAAGGTGGATTTTGGCTGCTGCATGACTCAATGGTGACATCTAGTGGCTATTAACAGACTAGCCGTGAAGGGAATAAATTAGAGATTGTACAGAAAAAGATGATTTCATATTTTAAATACTGTCTATCTATCTATCTATCTATCTATCTATCTATCTATCTATCTATCTATCTATCTATCTATCTATCTATCTATCTATCTATCTATCCACACAGCACTGTGCAAACATTTTAGGCAGGTGTTAAAAAATGCTGTAAAGTAAGAATGATTTCAGAAATAAGTATCAATAGTCTATTTATAATGAACAAAATGTTAAGTAAGTAAACAGAAGAGAAATCCAAATCAAATCAATATTTGGTGTGACCACCCTTTGCCTTCTTCCAGGTACGCTTGCACACAGTTTTTGAAAGAACTCGGCAAGTAGATTGTTCCATACATCTCGGAGAACTAAGCACAGATCTTCTGTGGATGTCGACTGCCTCAAATCCTTCTGTCTCTTCATGTAATCCCAGACAGACTCCATGAGGTTGAGATCAGGGTTCTGTGGGGGCCAAACCATCACTTCCAGGACTCCTTGTTCTTCTTTACACTGAAGATAGTTTTTAATGACATTGGCTGTATGTTTGGGGTTGTTGTCCTGCTGCAGAATACATTTGGGGCCAATCACACGCCTCCCCGGTGGTATGGCATGATGGATAATTATCTACATGTATTTCTCAGCATCAAGGACACCATTGATCCTGACCAAATCTCCCACTCCATTTGCAGAAATGCAGCCCCAGACTTGCAAGAAACCTCCACCATGCTTCATTATTGTACCGCTCTCCAGCCCTTCAGCAAACAAACTGCTTCCTGCTACAGCCAAATATTACAAATTTTGACTCATCAGTCCAGAGCACCTGCTGCCATTTTTCTGCACACCAGTTCCTATGTTTTCATGGATAGTTGAAACGTGTTTCCACATCAAAGGTAGAGCTGCAGCTAACGATTATTTTCAAAATCGATTAGTTAGCCGATTAAGACAGCAGATGGATGTACCTGGGTCCCACTGGTTACTTCCAGTTCTAATGATGGCACTGCCGGGCATCTTCCGATGTTGAAGGGAAGTAAGCATGATGTGTCTTTCATCTGCTGCATTAAGTTTCCTTGGCGGACCAATGCGTCTGCGGTCCTCAACGTTGCCCATTTCTTTGTGCTTCTCCAAAAGAGCTTGAACAGCACATCTTGAAACCCCCGTCTGCTTTGAAAACTTTGCCCTCATAGAGACCTTGCTGATGCACAATAAATACCTTTTTCTTGATGCCATGGTGTATGACCTGTGATATGAAACTGTCTTCCACATCCTCACCTTAGTAGCAGAGTTTGGCTGTCCCTCACCCAGTTTTAAGCCTCCTACAGAGCTGTTTCGGTTTCAGTTAATGACTGTGTACCAACCTACCTATGAAATTGAGGATCATTAGCACTTGCTTGGTATATTTGGTTAATCATACACCTGACTCTAATACTACAAAATCCCTGACTTGTGCAAGTGTAACAACTGATGCTGGTTTAAAAACCAAAAGGGTAGTCACACCAAATATTGATTTCATTTACATTTTTCTTCAGTTCACTCACTTTTCTATGTTTCAAATGAAAAATTTAAAAATAAACAATAAAAACAATATATATTTCTGAAAGCATTCTTACTTTACAGCATTTTTTTACACCTGCCTAAAAAGCTGCCCATACACCTGCCGATTATCGTACAATCATGGGATCACCCGCGATTATCGTACGATAATTGGGAGGTGTATGGACACCTTTAGTGTATGTGTATATTAGGCCCCATTCACACCTACAGTATGTTTCAGGTGTGATTAGGGATTCCTGTGTCAGGAACTTGCGTTTTCCTGGCAGCAGGAATCCCTAATCTGCCGTTTACAAGCGGCAACTATCATAAGATAAGAATTATCATAAGATTATTTAAGAGGTTTGTTTAGGGGTGTTGTTAAGCCCGGGGCAGGGTAGGGGTTAGGTGGGGCAACTGGTGGCCAGTAACTCTTGAGGCCTGGCTAGTAGCTCAAGACTTGAAATTTTGAGCCCCGAACCCCTGCAGCGTTCCTGGGCTATTGATGTTAACTGATCTGTTAAGTCTGCAGTTTAGGTTTCAGCCATTACTGTACATCAGCGTTTCTCAACCATTTTTCAGTCACAGCATCCTTATAAGTATACCACACTCTAAATTGTAAAAACCATGAATTATTATTATACTGGATTTATAGAGCGCCAACAGTTTGCGCAGCGCTTTCCAATATAAGGAAGACATTACAATCACAATACAATTCAAGACAAGATGGTAAGGAGGGACCTGCCCGTGAGTGCTTACAATCTAAAATGACTTGTGCTCTCCATAATATCCATACCAGAACCCTATCCTGGGTAAGGGTCTGGTATGGGTTTTAAGGGAAAAACACTTCACTTCCTGAACATTCACATTAGAAAGCGCGCCCCCCCCCCCCCCCCCCCCCGGCGCGAAACGCAGCAAGGAGCCTCCCTTTAAATCAGAATTCCCATTTCATATCAGAGTCCCCCCTTCACATCAGAAGTCCCCAAATCACAGCCAAGCCCTCAGTTCCCCCTTCCCGTGTCATACCATCACATCAGGAGCCACAGCTATGGTAGCATGGCAGAGGGTGAGAGGCAGAACAGACCTGGACAAAAATGAACCTCCATCCTTTTCTGCATGGTACCAACCCTCCTTGGAATAGCATCATACATTTACATGGTGCTGATGGCTGGCCCATCTACTCCATAGACCCTGTCCAAAAATTTAGAGTCACCCTGGAGGAAGCCAGGAGGCCACCTGGTTGAGAAAGGCTGCTGGACATTCATAATACTAGAAAACTATTGGCTTTAACAAAGAACTGATTTTTCAGGCCAATATTGCGGTTAGAGATGCTGCATGTACTAAATAAATACCCTAGGTGGCACTGTGTGCAAAGTTTTCATGAAGCCGCAAAGGAATCCGTCTTCTCCCTATTAGTGGGACATAACAAACTTGCTGGAGTGTGATTTTCATGACTATGTTGTCTCCTACACAGGAAATTATCGAAGGAAATTGAGCTCTGAATGTAAGTAAGCAACACTAATGCTTACAGGACGAGAAAAAAAGAGAATCTTAAAGGTAACTCCACACTGGCAGACTAAGGGGGTTATTCACAAAAGGGTGAAGAGTTTGGAGAAGGCGGGATAAGTGATCAATCTAGGACAACATACCTGATCTGGAAAGTGAGCTGAATTGGAGAATTTTTCCAAATCAACTATTTTGTCCTAGATTGTTCACTTCTCCTGACTTCTCCAAACTCTTCACCCTTTTGTGAATAACCCTCTAAGTTTCCCTCTGGCTTCCTCTCCTCTTGCTGCACTCAACAGAAATACTAAGAAGTCTTCCCAAGGGTCATATTGGTCTTCCAGTCTTCCTGTCATCTCACACAGGGCTTGGAGAACAAAGTGCC